TTTGACCTTTTAATGTTGTTTATTGAATAGTGAATACGGTATTCATGTATATTTACTTTGCATTAATAATATTATTTGTTAATCATTTTTTAGAATAATGAACTTACTCGTGTAAGATAGGTAACTATGTTACAAATGACATTTTTGTGTTATTATGCGTATATCCGTTCTAATAATACTTTTTTAATGTCAATTTTGTATTTTTATTAAGTGATGTTCCTGTTATTGTGTTAGAAGCAAACTTTCGTGGAAGCAAGCGACGCCTGTCGGTGTTGTGTATCCGGCCAATCATATCATAAGCGTCTGCTGCCGGGATCAACGACTGACCGGCAATATCCTCTTCGATTCAAGTTAGACAAGATATAATCCTACTTTTCATGCTGGATCGACTTGATTTGCAGGGCGCAAACCTTCTAGCAAGCTAAGCAAATGCATCGAATTACACTACGATGCACTTAACTATTAGTCGTTGAGTCGCATACTATTATCTTACTCGAATTGAAAGACAAGAGTACTCTATGCACTTAGTACTAAATTAGCGGCCCCACTAGGCGTAATTACCTCTAAAGTTTGCCATTTTCCGCCTTGTCATTAAACCTTATTCATATATACTATGACCGTGAAGTGTTTTCTACTTCTCAAACTAACGCCCATATACCAACTCATGTGCAGTTCTATCCATTATTAATGCCTCCGTTATATTATTGCCTATACCAGCTATATATTAAGGCCTTACCCCCCAAGGTATTAGGTAAGCTGGTAACAATGCCTACTCCAACTGTATGTATATATGGCGCAGCAAAACTAATAACATTTTTCTGTTACACTGCTCACTGATAATTTGGAAGTCACTCTCACGGATAACTACCGCGTTATTCACGATAAAAGATGAACTACAGGTCATTTGTAAAATATATTATTGAGTATAGGAACAGGATTGGTATATTAAATAAAAAGAATTATATGAATATCATTAAATAAACGAAGGTAGAGCGTGCTGATTAAAGTTAATCTTGCCATTTAAGGTAAGCATCCTCTTTTCGGGGGAGAGGAGATCTATCTTATTTAACTCTTACTATGAAAATAACCAAAGGGGATATTTTTATTCTGCTGATATCAGGCTTATTTTTATTTTTTAATGTCTTAATCAACCCGTGTTTCTGTTTACTATTTTCTACCGAAAATGACACGACCCCCCCCCCCCACTGTGAAAAGGTTACCGGTTTGTTATTCTCTCTTCTGCTTTCGACAAAGCAATCAAAGTCTTGTAAGTACGTACTGATAAGAATGCGCAATGTTACGAAACGAAATAATGTGGGGTTCATTATTAATATAGGCTCTTGTCGCGGTTTCACGTAAACTGTGTAACGGCGAAATTAAAAACGGCCTCACTTTGTGTCAGGAAAAAAATCTTGTTGCAAACAAGCGATGCTAATATACGTTGTGTATCAAGCCAAGCATGACATACGGAAATGCTGCCTGGAACTACAACTTACCAGCTATAGCCTACTAGCTTTAAGTGATGCAAACAAGTTGCTCACCTCATAACCGAGTACCACTTACGACGACTTGCCTAGCACACTAATAGACTACAAAGAAAATAGTTACTAGTCATGGAAGGACGCACTAGCCATGCAAAGCACTCTGGATTCATGGTGTATTTAAAATAGGAGTTAGGGCTAGAGGGGACTGCTTTACTTAGAGCATTAATTAAGTTTATACACCATCATCCTTTGAAAAAAGCTTGTAATTCGATCTTTTGTCCCTATGAAGCACCAGGAAATACCATTTATAAAATAAAAGCAGCTCTATAGCTTATTTGTCCAAAAGAAGTCGCAAACCCAGTAAAGTGCAAGTACTTTTTATCAAAAGGAAACGTAATGTAACAAAAGATAACCGTTGTTCTTTCAGCACACACTTTTCTGATCTTAGTGTTTAGGTTTACATGCCCTCCAAAGCGAACTCTGATGTACAAGTGTACACCACTGAGCATAGCCGGCGCGGTAACCCGGTACTTTCCCCAACTATATAAGGTTTACTCATTGACATATCAGTTATTTTGATTGCGTCAATCACGCACTGACTAAACTCTAGGCCAGGCCCCATTCTATATATGTCTACTTTGAAGAAAGTGCAAGCCCTAGTCGTAAGAAAGCGGAAACCATGTAAGGTTTCTAGAAAAATTCACCCGTTGCCCGTGCCAACTACTCGCTGCTTTGAGGAACAATAAGAGCTGACACCCTCCAACTATATTGTTCCGGATATCCCCTTTGAACGCAATGAATATACTCTTTCGAGCAGCTTACCGAACGCAGAAATAATCTATTGAGAGACGATTCATTAGTACCTTACTATTGCCTGCTTCAGCCTTTTTAAGTATAAAAAAATTTAATTAAAATTAAAACTTAGTCATAAAAGGCTCAACATATATTTCGGCTATGACTAAATGGCAAGTGTCCATTAGAAGCTTACACAACTTGGAGGTTAAAAAAAAGTTGTTAATTATAATATTCTAATGCATAAATAAATTTCTTGCTTAACATTTTCTATGATTTATTACTAAAATGCAGCTCTTAACAAGAATATTATCGAACGCCGCTTCTAATGTTAAAAGATAAGCAAGTTTTTTAATTTATATATAAACACAGTAATTAATTGGACAGAAGATTGTCTGCTTTGCTAAGTTAATAATTAAAAACAGATGCACCTAACTTGCAAAAAATTATTTTTTCGGTTCAATACTGTAGCTTGTATAATACTAAAATTAAGTTGAAAAATATTAAGGCAGCGCCTAGTATAGTTAGAAAAGAAACGGTTTTTTTTCGGGTTAGGTCATACAAAACTGTAATGGAACCGTTAATATGTTAAAATATTAGAACTATGTTAATACTATTTCATAACATGATCAGTTTTGCTGGTGATATTTTAAGGCGGAAGTTGTTACGTACGAAAACCTAACAAAGCTTGTGAGCCCGCTAAGAAGGTAATGAAAAGGTCAAAGTTGTTCTAAATCATTATTCGAAGAGGGTACTAAAGGATTTAAGACCATAAAAAAAGATAAGAACGCTACATAAAATTCTAAACCTGACTTTCTTTTATTAACATGTTTAACTTTTTTCTATTTAACTGATTTAAAAAAAATCCTAGTTTCCCACTACTTTCCAGCGCTCCTTCCTTTATCCAGTTCCAGCTGGGGTTCGACCTTACTGCGTACTTAGTTAAATATCACCTGATCTTTAATCTCTTCACTTTCAGCAACCTCCCCCACAATGGTAAAGCAGACTTTAGTTAAAGACCTATAAGTTTAAAAAAAAATCAAGTTTTCCAATAATAGTGTCAGGCAACCACGATAGCAGGTTTTGAGAAGTATAAATCATGTTTAAAAACGACTTGTATCCTCCGAAGGGCTACAAAAGTTTTCAGTTGACGAAAACAGGGTGTTTAAGATCAGCCAAAGACCGACTTGATGAATAAGCAGATTAGATATATAAATCATGCTATCATTATTAAGAGCTGTCTTCGCGGCATAGCAGTAGAAAAATGTTATTATTGATATTAGGAGCTAACAATCTTCATTAAGTTGTCCTATAAGTAAACCCAGTTAAAAAATCTACTTTCCCTGGAAGACAATTACTAAATAAAATGTTAACGAGACAAAAAGTAATGTACACAAAAAAATTCCAGAAAAGTTTTCATACATCTTAATTTTTAGATGAAAGTTTTGATGGGCTAAATGCTGTATTTAACGAATTTTATTAGGTACAACGCCAATAACCTGTAGAAGTTAATCTACTTGCGCTTTTAATTAATATTAACCCTTTTTGCTTGATAAACGTTTTATAATAATTTGTCAAACCATAAGCTTTACAGTGTATGGATACTTATCGCACGATCTTGCAAGTTGTGTTATTCAAATGAAACTAAAATTTTAAATGGCAGATAATTAAAGCGGTAATTACTGTTAGCTATTTAGTAATCCCAAGTTTCGCTCCTATTATTTTTTTGGTATAAAAGAACTTATAAGCTAATTCTAAGTTTAAGTTCTCTCCTTAGTCATCTTAAAATTTTAAACGATCTTGTGGTCTTTTGCAGCTCTGGCTTTTTTTTTGATAACCTTATTTATTAAGCCTACTTGCTCCATATAATTTCTAAGCTATAAAGTCAGTTCCTTAGTTTCCCTCAATTATAACTTTTTATCTACCGTCCGCTCTTTTATTTGCTAAATAGAAACATCCCATCTTAACCCTTTAATGGGGAAAATCCTGGGACTTAAAATAGATTTGTTATAAGTTCACTAATAAAAAAAAATTTACCACTTTTTTATGTCTTGTTGGGCTGTTTAATCCGTTGGAACATGGTACTCAAACTTACCAGAGTTTGTTTCAGAGCCCGAGCCTGTCGTTTAGGTCAATTTCTTTAGACCTACTCTTGCAAATTGAACCTAGACGACAAGTAACAAACTTGATAACCAGTAACCTATAAGGGGTTAACAACTTAAAAAAAATATAAAAGTTTATTGCATTGAAATTTTAAAAAAATATAATTGCAGATTTTAGTAGACATTTTAGTAGACTTATTGCGCGTTAAAAATTAAGCAAAGGTAGTGATTGGTTTAATTATTTTTCTGGTAGTTTATAGGAATTTGTTGTCATTATAAGTATTTTGCACCACTTTTAATTAGTTAACCAATTTAGCTGAGGTTAGCCAAATTTGGTTGAGCGTTATACCCGTTTTATCGTTCCGTCCGTTCAAGTTTTCATAGGTTTAGAGAAGCTTTTTGGTTTATTAACGCCCCTTAGTGCTATGCAGATGATAGCAACTTATTTTTTACTTTAGAACTATGTGGTTATTTTAAATTTTTATTGTATTATATAAGCTATTATGACTTTTTTATAAACTTAATTTATTATCCAAGTTTTTAAGTTATAATTAAATTGTTACTTCTTTCTTTAGGGTTTATGAAGTGCTAAAAAGTTAAATCTTTGATCATGCCTTTTTTCGATTTATTATTATGTAAAAGTTCCAAAGGAACTCTCTCTGAAGCCGATATACTCATAGAGGAATCTCGAATTGAGAGTTTGCTCTCTTTTAAGCTTCTATTATTGGGTATAAAGTTTTTCAACCTTTTGTTTACGGCCAGTCACTATTTATCTCTTTCGTACTTTACGTATTCATATCATCTTACGTTCACCTTCAGGTGCTGGAGAATCTGGAAAAAGCACTATTTTAAGACAATTTAAATTAGTAAACAAAATAACTTTTACCCAAGAAGAAAAAAAAAATTTCGCCATTAATTTAAGGCGGAACACTGTGAGTAGTATGCAAGCCATTTTGGACGCATTCGGCTACGTTAAAAACCCGCCTGAGCGTAAAATTTTTGCTTATTTAAGTGTTTGGCTTTTTATTTTCTCGGTTTAAAAACGAAGAGTAATCTTATACTATTTTTTAACGTAAGTCAACGACGAGTTAAAAGAATGCAAGGACGTAGTCCAGAAGTTTTCTTTCGAAGATGAGGAATGTGAAGTCCCTTTGTTTATACAATCTGCTATAGAAAAATTGTGGAATTCTCTACCCGTTAAAGCTCTACTGGAGCGTCGCTCCGAGTTTTGGTGTCTAGATGGCGTCGATTAGTAATTTATTAGTATCTTTATTTTTAATTTTACATTTTTGTTCACGAAATTGTACATATTTGCTACTTGTTGCATAAAAGTTTACGTTGTAATTGTAAATAAGTTACTTTTGACAGTAATTCTGCGGTCGCGAAATTTTAGGATTCCGAGCTTTTTATTAGATTCCTTTAGCTTTTTATACACAGTAAAGCCCACATTGTCGTTTTAATTGGGCTTATGGCTTATTGATCATTTTTCACTCATGCTTACCTGTATTCCTTGGTGCTGTTATTTCCTTAAAATGCTTACCAACCCTTTCCTTCTTTTATAGCTATTTTAATAACTTGTGTCGCTTTGTGGATCCAAATTTTGAACCCGAAGAAGAAGATTGTGTTCTTGCAAGGATTATTACAACCGGCATCGTTACAACGGGCTTTTCTACTCCTTGTGCCCTGCATCGGGAATTACAATTGAAATACACGTGCGTCAGAACATTTCTGTATTATTGTAATTACTGTTGCTAACCTTTTATAATTATAAGAATAATTGACGTGGGTGGGCAGCGTAACGAGCGCAGGAAGTGGATCCACTGCTTTGATGATGTTTCCGTTATATTATATGTTGTCAACCTCGCTGGGTTAAAAACTTGATTTATTGCTTTTTTTATTATAAAATTATGGTATTCTGCGTTACGAATAGCTATCAGACTGTTTTGTACGAGGATCATTCTGTGAATCGGCTTCTTGAGTCCCTTGATGTTTTTAAAGACACTTTAAATAACGAAATCTTTTCCCAAACCCACATATTTTTGTTATTAAACAAGAAGGACTTGTTTGAAAATTTAATCCGGAAGAAACCGCTTAGCAATCTATTTCCCGAATATGAAGGAGGAGGTTATTTGATACATGTGCTCTGACTCACTTTATCTTATATAATTTTAAAGATGATGTACAGAAGGCTCTTTCCTATATAGAGAATAAATATAAATCGCTATTGGTCAAGAACCCAGAGAGGATGTCAACTTTTGTGATTTCTGCAAGGGTAAAGCTGGATATGAAAAATAGCTGGTACGAAATAGACAGTTTCATACAAGATAAATATCGTCACAATTTTAGAGATGCCTTAAAAGGCAGAGAGAAGCTTGAAAAAGAAAAGAAAAGATTAAAGTTGACTAAATAAAATTTTTATAATAAGCGCAGAAGTATTAGATTAGTTACATTATAGTGTGTCTAATAAAAACTAGGAGGGGTAAATTCTCTTGGTCACGCCTTTAAACAAATATTATTAGTTTTATATACCCTGTTAACTTGAATCCTTTGTAAGGAAAATATTATTATGCTAGTTAGACGCTTTGCCTATAATTGTAATTTTATGACGAACTTATGTGTCACTAGCAAAAAAAGCTGTATATCAGATTATAGGGACGTTGTGGAGTTAGTCTTGCCTTTTCTATATAACGCGAATTCTTCTAATGTTTCGGGAGGGCTGAAAGGGCTTATATATCCGACTTTTTTAGTAGCCAAAGGCTAAACGTACGCCTTCTGTGAAAAGTAAAGGCGATTTTAAAAAAACACGGTGGCCGCCTTTTTAAATGGTTATTTTATTAACTAAATAACAATATAAACATTAAAGAGTCAAATTCTCGGAAGCTATTTGTTACAAGAATTGTAAAAAGTTTTTAAGATTCGACATAACTATATTCGCTTAACATATTTTGCACGCCACTTTGGCCCCAAGATGAATTAAGAAACTACGTCTTGCTATCAGTAAGTTGTTCTTTGGTGCGTAACAAAGTTTACAATATCGAGCTCTTCCCAGCTTTATTAAATACAAAGTAACCCATATGTAGTTTATTTTATTCAAAGGAGTAACTGCAAATAAACTTATTTTTACGTTTCTCAATCAGCTTTCATAAACTTTGCCAACCTTCTTTCTTTAAAAAATTTATAACAGAGAGTAGTTAAATACTTTTCGTTAGCAGAAAAAATTTGAACTGCTTGCTCTGAGAAAGATGAAATGTGTATCAAAGAATTTCCGACTCAAACTCATAAAAACCTAGATAGTCTCTATCAAGGAGCTTTTCGATAGTCAGCGAATCATTTTTAAGGATGGATAAGCAAAAAAGTTCTTTTATTTGTCTTTGAAACGACTGCCGTAAGCTCCAGGTTGATGAACCAGAAGAGATGTTCTTAGGCTCTTGTTCTGGACAATTTGTTTGATTGTTAAGAGTACATCCTTCTAAAAACCTAGAAGAAAAACACAAAAAATACGAATTTGGATAAGCAGCAAAACGATAAAGATGCAATATGTGGTATTTTATTGGTATTTACTTATTTACGCTAGATTGCAAAATTACTAAAAACTTATACGAATAAAAATTGATTTTAGGCAAAAGGTACGGAAGTATGTATATGTTGAATAACTGAAAAAGCTTAACTCAAGCGGCTAAATAAGTTTTCTATATTAAGATATTACTTAAAGAATTCACAATATCAGTATTTTTTGATAAATAATATCAAGCACTAGTAGGGCAAACCCAAAATCTTAAAAAAAAAATGCGAAGCTTATATATACACAAAAATAATAAATGAAAAAAAGCGTTTTTAAAACTCTAATAATATATTCCTTACTTTTAGCTTATTATAGAAAGGTAACAATATTTAAAGTTAAGCGATTTTATGTGCTGGAAGGCAGTCAACAATTAGTTACCCTTTAACTTTGTCAAAATTATCATGAATGGAATTGGGGTGAAGTTTTGTTAGTGAATCCGAGTTACTAATTACTTTTAAGGCAATAAAAGTGTTTAGTTATATTTACGATAATTGGTGTAAACGATAAATAAAGTACCCGGATGGAACTCTTGGGGAGAAAGTAACTTGGTAACTAGGGATAACCTGGAAAATACCGCAGGTATAAGCCTTAACTAAAAGCATATGATAATTTAGGCGAGACATCATGAATAAAAGAACCTTTCCTGAAGTCATTATATACTGCAACAGTATACAACAGTGTGAATTAAGCAATAAACTGTAAGTTTAAGCAATGGGGGTTAAGTCTGATGAAGGTCAACCTAGCCAAAATTAAAAATAGGAATGGGTAAGAGATTGCTGGAAGTACCGCTGGAACCCTGCTATATTTAGCAGTAACCCCATATGATATATTAATTAATTCTGTGTCAAGTAATTACTTATGAATAAATTTATAGTCCCTAATTATTAGAGGCGAGATATAATAAACAAACTGCAACAATGTAGACCGGTAAATCCTAAAGCCCTATCACAAAGTTACTCGAGGGCAGGAATCACCTCCAAACCAAAGTTTTAAAGAAACGGTGTAGATAACACACTTGAACTTGTATTTGAAATTTTCGTATTATAGAATTTGTTATAAAGATGCTAAAAACCCGGATTTAGTAAGCGCAATGTTTGAAGTGGGGATGTTATTCCATAAAGATAACTCAAACGGAAATAAAAATATATTTTCCATCTGCCTTTCGATCTAACACATTACATAATTAGTGAAAATATGGGATTAAAAACATTTCGAAAAATAATTGGCGAACATTTAAATAACAAAGTACAAGCAAAAACACAACTTCTTGTGCTTTTATAAATAAGCAAACATTAAAAAAATATATTAAACTGTCCCTGTATACTACTACTAGGAAAGGTCCAGCCGCACACAACGGGTAAGGACGACCTAGCGAAGGAGAGAGAAAGAAAGCTAAATCGCGTCCTGCATGTTACCATAATATATTCCAATTTAGCCTCACTCTTTGGTAATTTTGCTTGTTCTAACTCTTGTATGTAATGTGAGGTATTACAATCGAGTTGGCACGCGTTGGCCAGATTTTTTTTGTATTGCACCTACTCGCTCCTGGTTTGAAGTGCAACGCTCTGGGAAGGGTTAAAGATTGTCAAATAAATTACCACAGTTTTTTTTTATCTTTCGTTTTTCCTATATTATATACTTATATTATAGTATACTAGTTCTCGAAGATATCAGTCTGTGTAACCAATACTATGTTAATCCTAAAATGGCACTGTCACAGGTATTAGCTATAATAAGCGGAAGTATGTATAGCCAAGGTAGGTATAAATTTATATATATATTTATTAGATAATATATATAAACACAGTAATTAGGCTGTCCCTTTATACTACAACATCTCCCACGCAGGGAACAAAAGGAAGAAAAATTAATAAAAAAGAGCTTTTATTGGCAGACTATTTTAATTTTCTCGTTAAAAAATCACCCTACTTGGTAGCTTCCGATGCAGCCTTCTAGCGTTAGACAACAATTGGAGAATAAAATCTGTTAAATGTTACTTTTAATTAATTTTAAGTTCAGAACAAAGTTCACAAGGTATAAAATGTACACTGACATAAAGTATTAATTTTTTTTTTTTTCAGAATTAAAAGTTCTGTTAAAGTAAGCTAAGATACAGCTCAATTAGCAATTTAGGCTACTACTAACTATTTGGAGCTATCCCCCCATCAACTTCTAACAAGAGCTTGCTTCCAAAATTGCAAGTCAGCTCTCCCTCCTGGCCTTATCAATGTGCTCAAATCTTACTCAAGGAACAAGAGCTTTAATATACGCGCTAGTGAGGTACACTCGCCTTCAAAACTACGGAAAAAGTCTTATGATATCTTTTTTAACACCTTTGCCTTTAGCACATTAGGCGTGCGACGTCCCACCGATCAACAACTCACACAATAATAATTTCCTAGTTAACAGACGATACGGTGGTTTCCTCTTGGTCAAAGGCACCACTTATTTTATGCCATATATGCAAGTGAACCAAGTCACGCACGCCATTTCTGTTGTCATTATAGATTCACTCTGTGGAATAAACAGAGGCCCTTTTTTATCGCGAAGAAGCGCTATATTAGAATTTTATGAAGCGAGTTGGCCGCGTCGGTGGGAACTGAACCCACAAAACCTTGAAAATGCGTGCCAGTGCTCGTATCTGTTGAGCTAAGATAGCAATTCTGAAACCCGGGAGGATGGTTTTAAGTATACAATCTGTGATTCTATCTCTTAGCCCTGTAGCTGACCTTTGCAGGCGAAATAATTTTGTAAGTGTAGGAGACAAAGTTTTAAATGTGGTTAATATCGATCATTTGCTGTCATGGCGATCAAAAGAAGTCACTTTTTTACCATCTAAAATCTTACGCTATCACCCTGTTGAAAAGAGTTAAAAAAATTGGAGGTTTATTTACCCGGACGAGTACTAGTAAAAAATCAATAAATACATAGATAAACCTCGTTCTTTGCTCGGTCTATAGCTACAGGGAAGCGTTGATTAAGGATTTGAGTAAATATTTAAAAATTACATGGATGACACAGTTTTTTCTTTTCTTTTATCTCTTTTTTTTTGGTCTAGGTTTACCAAACAAAAACAAAAAAGAAGTTAAAAAAATAAAAAAAAAATAAAACGAGGTCTGTTGTTTATTTATTTATATATGACAGTTCTGGTGCCTGATCGAATAAAAAAACTTCGCATACTCGAGCTATATATCAGGAGTGATCGCAGGCATGTTACATAATGACTTTCAATCGAAAAGGTGCCATTACGTCCCATGGCTCGTAAATAAGTCCGCTCACCGACAGGCGATTAGTGTGCCTAGCTAGCCTGTCGTTCAGTACACTGGCATTAATTTGGAAGAGGACGTCTGAAAGGTGAAACTGAAGGTCCCGGTAAAGAGCGGTATTTTGCACAAACCACGGTGCGTTTGCTATCACGCGCAGCAATTTGTCCTGTCGCACTTGAAGTGCCGACGCTATGCAGTAGACTCGTAGGTCCAATAGCAGACGCGTATGTTATTATTGGTTACGGTTAGACGCATACACCAGCCGTTTGTTTCGCAGAGAAAGCTAGCTCTTGCCCCATAGTAAAGCGTAAAGCGCCTAGTTGCTGTCTTGAACTTCGCTACTACATAGTCAACTTGACTTGCGGCTGCTAAGAAAAGTTGTTGTCAATGATGGCCCCAACGTATTTTGCTTGAGCACCCCAGGGGATCTTCACTCCATCGAAGGTTTAGGGCACCAACAAGGAGACGCGTTTCTTAGTAATTAAAAGTGCTTTGCTCTTCGTCGCATTCTTAGAAACTTTCCAATTAAGGCACCAGTCAGCTAAGGCGTCAAGATAGCGCTGTAGGTCTTGCATAGTAAGGCAGGAGACTTCAACGATAAGTAAATGACCGATGCATCCGCTTAGAGGGCGATTAGAGTGTGTGGATTTGATGGCAAGGGCACATCGCTTATATAAATAGTAAATAAAAGGGGCGAAAGAAAGGAGCCCTGAGGAACCCCTAATGTCAGAGAACTCAGCGGTGACTGTATCTCCCAAGCGCACGCTGAGACGCGGTCATTTAGATGTGACTTCAGCAAGTTGTAAAGGCCATGAGGAAAGGATAACGAGCGCGGTTAGTGCAGCAGACCTTTATGCCAAACTTGGCCAAATGCTTTTTCAAAGGCAAGGAAGGCAGCGCCCGCTGTCTTCTTAAAGTTAAAAGAGCGAGGAGTCCCTTCAGTAGCGGAAGAGCTGCGGGTCTTCGAGTGCCCTTCCCGTAATCCACACTGAAACTCCGGCAAGGCGTCCCGAGCGTCAAAGACCTCTCTTAGATAGCGCAGTAAATAGGCCTCACCCACGTAGCCGACCGCTGGCAGGAGACTGACGGATCGGTATATGCTAGCTGCTGATTCCGGTTTGCATGTCTTTGGTGGCATCACAACGCTCGCCGTCTTCCATCGGAGAGGAAAGGCGCCAAACCACCGCAGATTTTACTAGGAGGTACAGATAATGCACCCCTGTCAATGACAACTTCAGCAACTCATTAGTGATGCCATCGAAACCATGCACTTTTCGTTTAGGTAGCGCTTCGACAAACGCTTCAACCTCGCCAACATTAAATAGCTCAATTGGTTCCTGGACATTAAGAAGGAAGATTAGCTGTTGGAAAATGGATCATTGGCAGTTAAGTGTGCAGCGGGCATCTTTTGGGCAGCAAGGAAATTAATGAAAAGCGTAGCTTTGTCTTCATCACTCTCGGCAACTATATTTTCTTGTCGAAGGGGCGGTAGTGGTGCATGTTCCCGATTTTTAATTTTTAAACAAAATTCCTATAGTAAGAACGGCGCTATTGCCTGATTCCGATTTGAGGACCAGCTTACCCCATTTAGTTTAAAATGAGCCATTAACTTCTTTCCTTTGCACCCGTGCAATTGATTAAGCGCAAGTTTGTCTTGCCTCTCTGCGCCACTTGGTAACTCGAATAAGACCTCGACGTAGGCAGATAAGTGTCTCCCGTTCGTTAGACCGGCGATCGGGGCGGACTGATTGTTTATATTTATTATTAAAGAGTGGTGCAGATACTCGGTGATATCGAGAGCAGGTTACTTAAACTCCCAAATAATTATATGTAAGGCCGTATTCATTTTCGGCAGGTCAACTCACAATAAACTTTCTATTTCCGTGTTAACGGTATAAGAAAACTGTAATTGTTGAAAGTGTATCGTGAGGCCTTCGAAATGTGAACCTTTCCCCAGGGTTCGTATGTAAGTTCTTGAATCCACTGGTGGTTTGGTTGCTCACTAACTAACACGTTCAAAGAAACTGAAGTTGCATTTAGGAAAAAGACTTCAATCGTTCCAAAACCAGGTCGTCATGTAACTTATCGTTCTGCACGGTATAAGGTACGCCTGTCATTAGTCGCAGGAGCTTGCTTTGATGCTTCGGGAGGTGGGGGGGGTACAATCGTCGAAGCAATATATGTGTAGATCAATAAAGCGCACACTTTATAAAGGCGAGGTATCTTGCGCAGGGACTTTGTGCTTTTAGTACACAGCAGCGAGTAGAGTGCGTGAATTGCTGCTTTGACCTTAGTCGTAACGAACTCTACGTGTTGTTGCCTCGAAGTTAGTTGCTTATCGATGGCCGGGAGCCCTGTTTTCTAAAAAACCTTGGAGGGTTAGGGGCGTAGCGTGATGCTCATCATGGGATGAGGATTACTTTGCTCTTCGTTCTATAAATGT